AACTGTAGTTCTTGCCTCCCAGTATAGGAGGAACAAGGAAGGGAATTACTGTTGTAACCCTTGAACTCTGCATTTAACACATTGTGGACTGGTGACGCAGATTTGCCCCGTCCTCAGTGTGTTAAAATCTTTTTTGAAGTCAGCACAGAAGTCCTGTACTCGTGTTTTCAGAATGAAATAGAGTCCTAGTCCTTTGTTACTCTGTGCACTGTGGGTGCCCATGGACAGACAGCATTACATCAAAGATACCTAACTTAGTGAAGGTCAAACTCAGACCTCCAGGATTACCACATTTTGTTAGACCTAATAGTGCTAATGTGTATGGCAGAGGAACTGCCGAAGGCAGTGTGTCCACTGGGGCGCTGGAATGCAGCTCTCTGCGGGTTTCTATGCTGCTTATGGCATGTTCTCATGTAATGCCCTTAGTGACCCTGGGAGGCAGATATTATCACCACTCTCTGTAGATGGGGAACCAAAATTTAGAGAATGTTCGTTTGCCCATGGTCACATAGTTCATTGTTGGTAAAAATGGAATTGGAACCATGTGTTCAGCCTCTTGCCACCAGATCAAGTGCATGCTAAGGGGTCTGAGGCCTAAATCTTTGACCTCTGGCTTTTTCTTCTTTTTTTTTTTAACATTTGAAAGGCTTCGGATTGGTACTGGTATAAGTGGGAATTCACACTGCCTTTAGACCGGCCTCAGGTTGAGGGTGAGGGATGGGGGCAGCGATGAAGAAGGTTACCAAAATCACATATTGTAGACAAGCAGAACACGTGGAATGCTCTGAGTTGTCCATAGTGAATGCAGTTGTTTCGGGGAATGGCTTTTTTTTTTTTTAAATGGAGCAGTGATGGTAAGCTATCATCGTTGGGGTTTCTGAAGTCTCCCTGTGTTATTATATTTTCCACTTCCCTATGTATTTTTCGGGCTGTGAAAAGTGTATACGGTGTATGAGGCCCTGGTGTGTTTTTCTTATCTGTGTTCTCTTGACTGGAATATTTCTAACTTTTAGTTGACATATGATATACATACAGAAAAGTTCATATACCATAAGTACACAGTTTGGTGAATTTTCACAGACTGAACACATCCAGGTAACCAGCACGCAGGTCAAGAAATACAACAGCGACACCTCGAAAGCCCCCGTCGTGTCCCCTTCTGTTGACTGAAAAAGTTTTCATTCTCTTGCATAAACCTCACATCATTCCTCATCTTTTAGGTTTCTTCCTGATTTGGGCTCTAACATTACTTTTCAGTCTTTTTTTGCACACACATACAAAAAGAAAAAAGAAAAAAACTTCACCGAAACTTGTCTCTTCCTCCTTTCGTAATCTCATCTCTTGATCAATCTGCTTCCGTTAAACCAAAGTGTTTTGTTCCGCCGCAAAGTCATAACTCGAAGGAATATGGGGAATGAAAGAGAACATGTAACTGTGGAGTGATAAGAACATTCCTTGGAATTTTCAAAACTAAATGAAAATTTGGTTGTGGGAATCAACCACCTATTAAGAGGTAATGAACAAGTGAGTGATAAACTGCTTTCTGTTGTGGGGAGATGGTGATGGTTGCAGCTTCCTCATTCTCAGAACTCTGATCAGGCTTTTAAAAATTACTTGTGAAGGATGTGATCTTTCATCTAAAACCATAGCAAATTAAATACAGTCTTCGTAGGTGCAAATTCATCCACATATGGCTCTGGTCCCCTTCTCTGCTCCACGTTTGACTCACTTATGTTAATTTGTGTCCTTTGCTGTTTTAAACATTTCAACATTTGAATAAAGCTTAATTTTAAAATATGTTTTATATTATGCCATTCTAGTTCCAAGGCTTCAATGTGAACGCTGCTGGACCAGTGGAGAGGTGGGTGGGTGGGTCCCTGACCCCAGGGTAGCCTGGGCTTAGCAGGTGCTTTGCCTCCAGCAGAACCAGTCTTAAGTTCCAGAGTGAAGAGGGTTAGCGGCAATCACAGCCACACCTTGGCCTTCTGGTGAAGTGACATTCTGGGTGCTAGAATGTTCCAGAGAACCAAAATGTTCATCATTCACATACTCACACTTTAAAAATAAACTAAGTGCATTAATTCCATAGTTCCCTGCCTTCTTGGGGAGAAAAGCATGCTAAACACCAAGTGATGATTTTGTTCTCCAATTTTGTTCTCCAGAAAATCGTAGTTCTAAATTGGCGTCAGATCTGGAAGTTGCCCTGGAGGTTTTTTTATTGGAGGCGCATTTTTTTAAGGGAAGGTTTGCCTGTATCTTAGTAAAGGACAACAAGACGAATGTGCTGGTTCTGAACTCATGGCAGAAAACAGTTATCCTTTTCTGCAAGGTTACTGGTCACAAATTCAAAACGGCCTTTTTCTTTTTTTTTTTT